TCGATTTTTCTCCACTTTTATCCATCCCATATCGATGTGGGAAGTGGAAAAATATCATTGCTGCACAGGAAAAATATTGCCAAAGTGGACTCCGTTTTCAAAGAATAACAGAGTGCTGGTCAGTGCGGTTCTTTGTTCTGTCTCTTGGCAGCGAGCAACTTCTTCAGAGCACACATGGTGAATTAATTTCGAATCATGCAATGAAATAAAAAAGCAACTCAAGTACCAGAAACGGAAAACAAACCGATCATAATTTAATCAGAACATAAAGGGACGAAAATTTCCTTATTATGTGTGGTGACTCGAGTTGGGATGGACCAGAAAATTACAACTATTCACCAAAATGGGTAATTGAATTTCGATGAAGAGCGAACGCGTGGTTCGGTCAATAAAAAAGAAGAAATGATTTTTTTTTCCGGACACCAACTGTCATAAATTACCGGGAGGAGTCGAATCTTCCGGGCTCGGAATGTCTGTCTCAGAAGAGCACATCTGAATAGATGATCCCGACAGTACGACTGCTACGGATGGTTAATCCAATAAAAAACGATAAGTGCTCGGTGACCGTTTCTTCGCTTGACCGGATGTAATATTCTCCTGTGCTCGTGTCGTGAGGGAAGTGAGCGCAACTGATGTTTTCGCTGTAGTTGCTGCTGGTTGTCAGGAAATGGATCGGAGCACAACCGGATGCTGCTACACTAATAAATAATTGTATTAGATATGCAACATTGCTTGCGAAGAAAGAATACGAACTTGGCGAAAATGATTCTAGATTTTGGAAAAAAAAACTCATGCAAGCGTGAAGAGTAAGCACTGAAAATGGCTTCTGTTTTTCTAAAACTCAATGCTAAATCACATTTTCCTGAGACAAAAAAAAAGCAGCATAGAAAAATGTATTTACACAAACCTCTCTTCTGAGGATGTAATCTTTGCTATCAAATTCGTTCGAAGCATTTACCTTTGAGCGGCAGATGACGCGATTGTACCTGTCTCATAGCGTTCGTATGAGAAAATAGAAGAGTTGCCAGTCTTCTTGATTTGTTGTCTTCGATTTTACGCTAGTTTACATTTCTAGATAGAGCTGGAATTAGGGCGTAACATCCTTTGTAAACAATGTCTTTTAAAGATGATTTCTAGGAACTCAAGGCATATCCACGTAAGCCATCATAACCGTCGGGTAGGTCATTGTTTACAAAAGCTGTTGCGCCCTAATTCCAGCTCTATCTAGATTTAGTGCCATTAGGTGTGATAGCTTTGAATTTCTGACAAAACGTTTTTTCATAACACTCTCCTCCCCCGCAGTTCCCTCAATGCATTTTAAATCTAATAACATAGACATCGATGTTTCAATCAAATCATATAAATTATTTCGATAGCAGCTGGAGCATATGTTGACGTATCGAAAACCTTCTGAATAATGCACCGTCAATCCTGCCATAAACCTTCCAGAGCGATTAAGTCATCTAGTTTACGACAACTCCCTGACATCATTAACCAATTTACGTCACCAGCAATCAACATAAACCCCGATATTTGAACCAACCGAAAATCTACTATCGCAGTTAATTGCTAGGCGTCTGCATGTCAGCAAACAACTCTATTAGAGAGAAGCCCAAATTCAACCTAATTGGATCCCCTATGCGCCGTTTAGAAACACTCAAATCCCTCCTGCAATGATAAGTGGCTGCTTATTCTAAACATCACCCACTGGGACCTGCCAGAGCTTCATGCATGTCCGGAGTGGTAAAAGCATGTAATAGCCTGACGCAGGATGACAGCAAACTTTCTCCCGAAAAAAAAACTGAAACACCCTCCTCCTGCCGTAAAACTACGCATTTTCTGCCTTTTCGGAAAAACCATAATTGAGATGCTGCCGTGGGTAGGACTGACATATGGCCCAAATTGTCAAAATTACACGTTGTAAAGTCAGTGCTGCTTGCGGTGACAATAATGTAGTAATTTTTATTACGACGATAGTTGCGTCGGTCGAGCTGACATGGGCTCTGGGAGTGGCGGGGAAGCCATGCATGAAGAGTTGAAGCATCCGAACGCGACTGCCAGATGACAGTTGTCCCACGCGCGCACTTTGACACGTGCTGCCCGGGTGGACTACATGCAGGCGGTGCCTTTGTTTTTGTCATTTTTATCGTTTGAGGTGATGATAAACTCCGAATGAGATTAGAAAACTGCTTGCGTTCTTCCCGTTTAATTATGTTTACATTGCGCCGAACGTATTTGCATACTGACCGTTGGTCAATTTTTGCAAACCCGCTCCGGGAAATCCCGGGAGATGTCTGCCCAAATGAAAAATCAACATCTGTCTCATAGGTCGTTTAATTGAATCACGTGGTCCTAGGTGACAAAAAGACCGTTCCTGGAGGAGTGTGTGTTAGATATTAGATCGTTTGGGCGATGGCAGCAATTAGCATAAATCTGTGATGGATGGGTATGAGTTTCCAACGGCAAAGGCCTATGGCAGACGCAGGAATTCGGGTAATTGATATTTATCGTTATGGGCCCGGAGCCAGTCAGCGACAACGAGCTCATCATCATGTTTGACAACATTAAATTTAATGTTTAATTGTATCTGTCCCGTTTCATCGGTTTGTCGGAGCATACGAAGCACCTCAAACGATCATATTCACTTCCACTAATAGCGTGATTAGGAACATGCTTCTGTGGTACGCACGGCAGGAACAGTCAATTAATTTATAGTAATTACTGGCAAATGGCTGCTGGTAATTTGTAGGGCAATTTAAAATCATTATTATGTACGGTGGCATACCGATGCAATGGCAATTCGTAGGTACAGTTACGTCAAAGATTTCGCAAACCCGCTTCGGATCCCACCCCATTGCATTGACTCAGGTCAGTAACGCGTTGTGTGTTTCACCCAGATTACTTGCCCCCAACTGTGAAGAAAAGAAAGAATCTGCAAGATTGCAATAAATTATGCATCCGAACCCCACTTGCACTTACATTACTTTTCTATTCCGATGCGAATCAACAACCTCTGCTCCGGGCTGAGATTTAATATTTGCATACATACGCACAAATGGACATTGTGCGTGTGTACCTAATGCATTCAATGCAATCCACCCAGTGCAAACAAATCTTGAGATGAACTCTTCCCCTCCGCCTTTCTGGAAGACCGGCAGCAACAACACCAGATGCAATTGAGTGCAATCTTTTGTCCTCGGCAAAGTAAAAGTAGGATAAGGATTTCTTAATCTTCAGTGATGCGAAAGCCACTTGAACGTGGAGAGAAAGAGCGAAGCAGGATAAGAAGTAAAGAGTGCACTTTCGATAAGTTACTTGCAATAGGGGTGGTTCTGCAGTTTAAGGTGATGGCATTTGGAACAACTCTCCCAGCTTGGCATACCATAATAATAGGTAGGATTAGTCGTCTATGGACATCAAGTTTATTTTCAGGGATATGGTGGACTTCCTATTGATAAGCGGAAACAGTGATCTTATCAAGATGTTGCACTTAGTGTTAGTTTTGTCAATGTGCTCCAAGAAGCTTGCTGTCTAGTGTTAGTTCGAGGTACACAACCTCTTTGGACCTTTCCACCACTGCAGTGCACTGTGCGGTTCAAGTTGATCTTATTATTCTCAGACGGAACAAGTCAGGGAAATTTGGAATGAGGAAATATGATGACCTAAGTCTTTGCCACGTTTATACGGCCTTCCAGCCGTTGAAATAATCAGACAGGACATCCAGTCCTCTCTGAAGTTTGGCGGTCAGAGCTCAGATGGATGTGTCACCTGCGAACAGAAACGACCATTTGGAAGCGGCCGGACTACTAGAGCACCTTTCTAACCCAACATTGCTGATGGAATTGGTGGAAATACTACCGCCCCACACCAAGATGCAATGGGCGGAACATATGCAGCGGTACCCGGTTATCAATCTTAAAACCTTCGGCGATTTCATGCACGGAGTGGTTACAGTGGTTAGCAGAGTAACAATGTATGTTGGTGGGAGCAGCAGAAGCACAAAGGAGCAGTCAACAGTCACCTTAGCGGAGCAGAACCCATCTGTGAGTCAGCGAGCCAGAAGGAGCGTGTATGTGTTTGCTGTAAGAAATTTGGTCATCGTATAGCAGAGTGCCCGGTGTTCAAGTCGTATACCGTGAACGATCGATGGAAGCTCGCACAAACAAACGGTCTATGCCGGAGTTGTCTCAACGCACACGGTAGGAGGAGTTGCAGAAGTGCGACACAATGCGTGATCGAAGGATGTCAATTCCGCCACCATCCACTGCTGCATTCAAACCGTTCGAGCGGTCAGCCTACGCCAAGGCTCTCAACGGTGCAGAATCACACTCATCGACAATATAAACAAACTCTACAATTTCGTATTGTTCCTGTCATCATCTCAGGACCCCGAGCGTCCATCGAAACGTTCGCTTTCCTGGACGACGGGTCAGATCTATTGCTGATTGAGAGCAGCCTGGTGGAGCAGCTCGGTATCGATGGATGGACGAAACCGTTGTGCCTCAAGTGGACAGGGAACGTTACCAGAGTCGAGTCGGAGTCGAAACATGTTCGAGTTTCGATTAGAGCGGCGAACAGTCAGAAACAGTTCACCCTCAATGACATTCGTAGTGTGAAGGAGCTAACTTTGCCGGAGCAGAGACTTAACTACAATGATCTTGCGCAACGTTACCGTTATCTTCAGGGTCTGCCAATTGCCAGCTACGAGAAGGCTGTTCCCCGCCTGTTAATCGGCGTAAATAACGTGAACCTTACGGTACCACTGCAAGTGAAAGAAGGCAAGAAAGGCGAGCCTATCGCGGTAAAGACCAGGTTAGGATGGAGCCTCTTCGGTGGAAATGGTAAGGAGGCATCACATACGCTGAATTTCCATGCCTGCAAATGTACGAGTGATCAGGAGCTACACAATGCGGTGAGAGATTATTTCACGGTGGAGGATGCAGGTGTGAAGCCAGCACCAGTGCCAGTACGATGACGTGGAGCTCCCAGATAGTTACAACATGGCAGCCAAGCGTTTCGAATGTCTGGCGCGCAAGATGGTTCGAGATCCAGCACTGGCAGCCAACCTGAAGAAGCACATTGCGGAGTACTTGCTTAAAGGCTATGCGCATCGCGCTACGGAAGAGGAACTAGAACGAGCTGATCCGAGGCGCGTATGGTATCTACCGTTGGGTACAGTAACAAATGCAAGGAAACCCGGTAAAGTCCGTCTAGTGTGCGATGCGGCAGCTACAGTCGATGGAATATCACTGAATTCCATGCTGCTTAAAGGTCCAGACCAGCTTACGTCGCTTCCGGCCGTGCTACTTCGTTTCCGGCAGTATATGGTGGGAGTTTCTGCAGACATTAGAGAAATGTTCCATCAGCTGTTGATTCAAGAGTCAGATCGTCATGCTTTACGATTCCTATTTCGGAGTGATCCATCGGAACAATTGGAAATCTATATAATGGACGTGGTGACCTTCGGAGTCACCTGTTCACCAGCGTCGGCGCAGTATGTAAAGAACACAAACGCTGCAGAATTTGCTGATGTCTTTCCACGGGCGGTTGAAGCTATTTTGAAGAATCACTATGTGGATGACTTTCTCGATAGTTTCGAGAGCGTTTATGTTTCCCAAGAAGTGAGAACCATACACCAAAAACGAGGTTTCCATCTCAGAAACTGGCTATCAAACAACGCTATAGTGCTAAACGAACTGAAGGAAGAGGAAACTTTGGGAACCAAGATCCTCTGCGTGAGTCCAACAGACGGATGCGACCGAGTATTACGAATGCTGTGGCTCACGGATGAAGATGAGCTGCGGTTTTCGATGAAAATGAAGGATGAAGTTCAGGAGGTAATTTGTAGAGGTGATCGGCCGACTAAACGGCAGATGCTGAAATGTCTGATGGGGATCTTCGATCCATTGGGACTTCTGAGCGTGTTCCTCATTCACGGCAAAATACTTCTTCAGGATGAATGGCGAGCTGACCTGCAGTGGGACGAAAAGTTGCCGGAAGCAATATTCGACCGATGGATCAGGTGGACTGGACTGTTTCGTAAGATTGGTGACTTACGAATCCCTCGCTGTTACTTCAAGAAAGCGACCACGCAAACATACGATCAACTTCAACTTCACATCTTCGTTGATGCAAGCGAAGCTGCATTCTCCGCTGTAGCTTACTTTAGAGTGGTCAACGCTGAATGCTCAATAGTTGCTGCCAAGACGAAGGTCGCACCGCTCAAGCCACTCTCAATTCCACGCTTGGAACTACAAGCAGCAGTCCTGGGAAGTCGCTTGATGTCTTTTGTACAGGAGGGTCACAGCGTCGAGGTGAAGCGACGATTTCTGTGGAGTGATTCCGCGACTGTATTGGCTTGGCTGCGAGCTGACCACCGCCGCTACAAACAATACGTAGCGTGTCGGATTGGAGAGCTACTATCAAAAACGGACATAGCAGAATGGCGATGGGTCCCCAGCAAACTCAACCCTGCGGATGCGGCGACAAAATGGGGAAAGAACTCGTGTCCTGAAGTCACTGACGAGTGGTTCAGAGGCCCGGAATACCTTCGTCTCCCTGAGAACGAATGGCCGAAGCAAACCAAGGAACTGGTGCAACCAAAAGAAGAACTACGGCCCTGTTTTGTGATACAAGGTATAACAATTCCAGCTACCATAGTAGATTTCTGTCGATTTTCGAGGTGGAGCCGGCTATTAGGAACAGTTGCGTACGTGCACCGTTTTGTGGACAATTGCAGGCGTAGAAGACGAGGAGAAGAAACACAATCATCGTATCTGAGCCAGGATGAGCTGAAGAAAGCGAAGAACACATTGATGCAAATGGTGCAGTGGGAGGAGTATCCTGAGGAGATGAACTTGATACTGGGAAGAAAAATGGAGCTACACAAAACGAGCGCCTTGTACCAGTTGACGCCAACAGTGGATCAATACGGAGTTCTACGGGTCGGTGGAAGAACTGGAGCTGCGCCACATACTACGTTTGATGCCAAGTTTCCAGTAATTCTCCCGAGGAAACATCCAGTAACCAGTTTGATTGTGGATGATTTTCACCGAGCTTTTCGCCACAGGAACTCCGAAGCATTGTGTAATGAAGTTCGCCAATTCTACTATATCTCTCGGCTGAGGACGGTAGTGAAGCAAGTAGCGGTTGCTTGTCAATGGTGCAAGTTGGCGAAGGCAAAACCGAAGGTACCGCAAATGGCACCACTCCCTATGGCTCGCCTGTCGTCCTTTACCCGACCGTTCACGTACGTTGGAATTGATCTGTTCGTCCCGCTGTCTGTGAAGGTAGGAAGGACTACTGCAAAACGCTGGATCTGCTTGTTCACCTGCTTGACAACTCGTGCTGTCCATGTGGAGGTTGTATACAGCCTTTCCACACCGTCCTGCGTGAAGTGCATTCGCCGTTTCGTTTGCCGCCTTGGAACGCCAGCGGAGATTTATACAGATAACGGCACCAATTTCCAGGGTGCAGAGAATCTGTTACGAAAGCAGATTAAGGAAATTCACGACGGACTGGCAGCAACTTTCACAAACACAGATACCAAATGGATCTTCATACCACCAGGAGCACCTCACATGGGCGGTGCTTGGGAAAGAATGGTGCGATCGATAAAGACGGCCATGCAGACCGCTTAAAACAACGATCGAAAATTGGACGACAAAGGATTGGAAACGCTGGTCGTTGAAGCCGAGGGTATCGTTAACAGTCGACCGCTCACGTACCTGCCACTGGATGCTGAAGAAGGTGAAGCCATTACACCGAACCACTTCCTGATGGGAAGCTCAAGAGGCGTACGCCAACCTACTGTAGCTGTTCAGGCTCTCCTGGCCTCGATTTTTTGTGGAATGTATTGCGAAATAACTATTTACACCATTTTTGTTCCATTTAACACTAAAACATTATTTATTTTCTCTAAAACTACATTTGTAAATTTCACTTGTGTCTCGCACAAAGGTTCAACTCCGAATCCTTAAAAACACGATGGCGGCGCACATCCGCTCGCACTTTTTTCTCTCGCTCGTTCGCTCGTTCCATTTTCCGTCCGTGTTGCCATGATTTCGTTGCTACACATTTCCTTGCCAGTGCAACCAAAATCGATCATAGCAACCGATCCAAATAAAAGTGAAAAAATATTGCACAGTGACAGTCAGTCTCGAAGTCCTCCTCAAGCGAACGGATGCTCGCTTACATTCTGCCCCGCGGCTGCGAAGCTGGAATACGAAGATTATCGTTGTCATCTGTCGGCAAGGGAGCCAACTTGCAAATGGATCGCTGAAAAGTTCCATTGCAAGTCTTCACGTCGACCACACGAACCAAGGAATCCTTTCCCGGGTGAGTAGCAACAACTACGCCAAGTTTCCACACTTGAGGTGGAAGGTTGTCCTCGATTAACAGCACCACTGTTCCGGGTTGGATGCTTGCTGATGCTGCAGTCCACTTGCCTCGTGTCTGCAACGTTGTCAGGTATTCCCGAGACCAACGTCCCCAGAAATGCTCACGAAGCTTATCAAGATATCGCCATCGGGAAAGGCGATTGTCAGGCACCCCTTCACAGGATGGTTTTGAAATGCAGACCAGCGGCCTTCCAATTTGCAGATGTGCAGGTGTGATCGGAAGAGGCTCATCAGGACTGCTGGAAACGTTGAATAACGGTCTAGAATTCAAAATCGATTCCACATGGGTGAGTATGGTGCTATACTCTTCGAACGTAAGTATTGCGTTCTGAAGAGTTCTTTTCAGGTGCGTTTTGACACTCTTCACCCAGGCTTCCCACAAGCCACCAAAGTTTGGTGCTCTGGGAGGGATGAAATGCCATTCTATCTCTCTAGCCAGCAAAACATCATTGATCTTTTGGCGATGGACTTCACCTTGAAAATCCACGTACAGCTGATGAAGTTCGTTTGAAGCCCCCACAAAATTGGTGCCATTGTCTGAAAACATTCTGCGAACCTGGCCCCGACGGTTGATGAAGCGCTCCAATGCTGCAATGAACGCTTCGGAGGTAAGATCTGACACTAACTCCAAATGCAGATTCTTTGTTGCCATGCACACAAACACTGCAATATATCCTTTCACTAATTTTGGCCGATATTTCCCTTGCTTGACCGTAACAGGACCGGCGTAGTCAACACCGGTGAATTCGAATGGAGCGGCAACATTGACACGTTCTTCAGGTAGACTGCCCATGAGCTGCTGAATTCCTCGAGGCTGGGTACGAAAACACTGGATACAACCTCGCGTAACCTTCCTGGTTGTGGATCGACCTTTCAAAGGCCAGAAATTTCGCCGAACAATTGCCAATAGGCCAGAAGGTCCCACGTGCAGGTTTTCGATGTGAAGAGCTCTGACGATCATTTCGGCTACTGGATGATTTGGCAAAACAAACGGATGTTTGGTCTCGTATGATAGTTCCGATTCCTGCAAACGACCTCCAACCCTCAACAGATGATCATCGTCGAGCAGTGGACTAAGGGTTGCGAGTCGCTGTGGAATTTCACCTTTCTCTACGCTATGGATTTCATTAGGTAACTCCAACATCTGGACTACCTTCACAATGCACTTGAGCGAGCTTCTCATTTCAGGAACTGTCACAAATTTTGATGAGATTCCTGGGCACTTAGTCGATTTGCGTCTACAATTCCGAACAAAACGCAGAACGTAGGCAATTACTCGTTGCAGCTTACGGAAACTGCTGAACTTTGCAAACACGGGCAGGGCCTCGATGTTTTCCGCAACAACCGCCGTCACCTTCAACTCTGGAATCTCCAATTCCCGAATCGGCGCGGGTTGAGGACTGCAGTACTCTTCTTGTCTCAGGAAATCAGGTCCACTCCACCAGAGGTTATTCTTACATAACATGGCTGGAGTCTGACCTCGGGACACCACGTCAGCAGGATTGTGTTTTGTGTTCACGTACTTCCAAGTGTAACGATTCGTGAGCCTGTTGATCTCTGCCACGCGATTTCGAACGAAAGTTTCCAAAGAACCGAGTGGTTTCTTCAACCAAGCCAATGCAATCTGACTGTCAGACCACAACGTAACCTCCGAGTAATCCATCTCCATCACTTCAATCACCTTTGCCCCCAGCCGCGCTAGAAGCAAAGCAGCAAGCAACTCTAGTCTTGGAATTGTTGTCGCCTTCAACGGTGCCACTCTTGATTTCGCACACATAAGACGCAGTTCCGCACTTCCGTCAGGCAACACACATCGCAAATATATGCAGGCTCCGTACGCTACTATCGAAGCATCCGCGAACCCGTGGATCTCGTACCGAATGGCACCAGATAGCTTAACACATCGTGGCACTTGAATCTGATTCAGCGTCGTCAACGAAGCTCGAAAATTCACCCACTCAACCAGAATGTCTTCCTCCAGTTCGTCATCCCAGTTTAACTTGGAAGACCAGAGTTTTTGCATTATGATCTTGGCACATACTATCACCGGTGAGACGAGTCCCAACGGATCATACAGCTTCGAAATTTCAGCAAGGACGCACCGCTTCGTTAGCGATCGGTTACTGACCTCTTCTGACCAACTCTCGAACGTGAACTGGTCATTCTTCGTATCCCAGAACATTCCGAGTGCTTTGATTCCTTCCTTGACACCACTTTCACCAATCCTCACTAATTTTTCTCGTTCTTCTTCAGGCACACTTTCAAGCACTACCGCTGAATTCGAGCTCCACTTGCGAATCGGAAATCCGCCTGCGGATAGCAACTGTTTCACTTCCAACAAGCGTTGAGCAGCTTCTTCTTCTGTATCTGCTCCAGATAGCATATCATCCACATATACATCTTCTATCACCATCTTCGATGCAACTGGGTACCGGTGTTTTTCTTCAACTGCTAATTGCACCAAGCTTCTGGTCGCAAGAAACGGTGCTGCAGCCGTTCCGTATGTCACTGTTACCAGTTCCAAAATTCTCAGGGGCTTTGAAGGATCCTCTCTCCAGAAAATCCTCAAAAATCGGGTGTGGGTTCCATCGACACCGACCTGCCGGTACATTTTGGTTACGTCGCCGGAAAATCCAAACGTATGGCGTCGGAAACGAAGATCCACGGAAAATATATCGTTCTGGACGGTTGGTCCAGTTTTCATCACGTCGTTCAGGGAGTACTTCGAAGATTTTGCGCTAGCATCAAATACTACCCTTACTTTGGTTGACGAACTCGCCAGCTTAAACACCGCGTGGTGCGGTAAGTAGTATCGCGGCAGTTCAGATACGTCTTCTTCTTCTCTGATCTCTTTGCAGTGCCCAAGCAATTGATATTCTCGCATGAATTCACAGTACTGGCTCCTCAGATCTGGAGCGCGGGATAGCTTTCGCTCGAGAGTGTAGAAACGCTTCAATGCTAGGTTTCTATTGTCATCAAGCTCAGCGACGGTTTCCCGAAACGGCATCTGGACCACGAAACGACCAGATTCGTCCCGGCGATAAGTTTCCAGGAAATGCTGCTCAACTTCTTGTTCTTCAGTGTTCAAGGGTGGAGATTCCGTCACCTCCTCAACGGACCAAAACTTCTCCAGTTTCTCAGCTAGTGGATCTTGTAATGCAACATTTGTGATCAAAATAGAGCCACTCACCTGTTGGTACGGGTCGTATGTACCAGTAACGATCCAGCCCAGATCCGTTTCTCGCAGTGACGTTGTACCATTTGACAGCGCCACCTTCTTGGTTCCAAGCAAATCCCAGACGTAATTAGAAGCAAGCACCAAATCAATTTCGTGTGGCTTGAAGAAATCTGGATCCGCCAACCGCAACCCTTGCGTTACGTTCCACGATGATACATCGATCGCCATCGATGGTACATTCCCAGTCGGCCTTTCCGAAATCAAGCACGTGATGTTGTCTTGAAGTGAGCAGTACCTCGACGAGAAATTCAGGTTCATTCCTTTCTTTGCTTGAGTCTTCACTGCGTTTGCTCCTACTACGGTAATGTTGCATTTCAGGGTCGGCAAACCGAGAACTCGTGCCATCGATTCCGACAAGATGTGTGCCTGTGAACCTGAGTCCAACAGCGCACGGCAAGGATAGAGACGACCGTGTACATCCTCCACATCGATTATTGCCGTCTGAAGCAGCACCTGCTTAGTCGATTGTGGCAACCCGCCGCCGAGACATGACGTTGTTACCGAAACACTACTTCTGCCTTCCTGTGGATCTGGATCGTTCCTGTCAGCAACACCCATTTGTGCTGCAGGTTGCTCCTCCGGTTTGTCCTTGGGCTTCTGTGGTACTTGCGCTTCTGGCTGATCCTGATGCAGCATGCTGTGGTGCTTCTGGTTACACTTTGAACACGTTCTCGTTGATAAACATGATCTGCCCATATGGCCCTTACGCAGACAGTTAAAGCAAACTCTGGCGTCCTTCACTTTAACCAACCGTTGCGCAACGCTCATGTTGCGAAAGGTGCTGCATTTGAAATTCGGATGGTCTCCACCGCACAGTTCACAGACAATCTCACTAGACGTTGTGACTGCAGCAGAAATTTTCGATGCTTTACTTGGTGGTGCCTTGGTAGCTGCTTGCTTGGTAGAAGACACCGACGATGTGGTCGACTCGCACCGCTCCAGTACCAAGCACCGCTTTCTGAGGAATTCCATCGTTTCATCATACTTCGGAAGGTCTCCATGGTCGAGAGTACCCTCCCATAACTCCCTTGTTTCTTGGTCGAGGGCACCTGCTAGAATGTGAACAACGATAAGCTCCGACACTCCTAACAGGTGCTGTTCGTGGAACTTCAGATTTTCCACATGTCTTGAACATTCATCAGTGAGGATACGCAACTCCTTAGAGGACTTCTTAGCCATCTTCTTCAGCTGCATGATACCTTGTACGTGAACGTCGATAATCAACCTCTTGTTTTCGAAGCGTTGTTCCAAAATCTGCCAGGCTTGCTGATAGTTGTTGTCTTGGATTGTTTTAGCGTCGATGATCCCTGCCGCACTTCCTACTAGCGACTTGTCCAGATGGAACAGCTTCACTGCATCCGAGTCTGGAGAATTCCTCATCAAATCCTTGAACATCGACTTGAATTTAGGCCAATTTTCGTACCGCCCATCGAAAGTTGGCAATGGGGCACGAAGAGCCTGCTGGTGGATGACAACCTGTGGTTGACCGTTCGGCTGGACTCCAGCGGGAAGAACAGCCCGATTCTGGTTGGCGTTCTGAGCGTGAGCTTCCAAGCGTCTCAATGAAAACTTGCGTCTCGTTGTAGATTGTCTCGAACTCGATGAGCTTACCTTCATGGTGTTCCTTTTGATTCTCCTGGATAGCTTGCATGATGGTGTCATGCACTTCGTTGAATTCGTCGTAATACTTGTCCACATTCTTTGCGTGGACACGAAGTTGTGGCATAGACATGCCTAGAAGATTTTCTTGCACTGCCTGGACCGCGGCATGGATCCTCGACAACTTGCTCTTCACTCCTCCGCGTTTAGAAATCAGCGACTTCAATTCCGCCATGTTTTCTTTCTTCGGTGTAGTTACTGGTGTTTTCTTTTCCTCCTTTATTTCTTCTTCGTGATCGGTGTCCGGGTGTCCTAGTAAAACGCGCCACATGGAATCGACAGATCAGCAGCGGGACTACTATCTGCCTGGATGAAAGCAGCGGGACTGCTTCCGGAAATGTTCCCGACCTTGGAACCAACAAACAAAATGGCGGCACGCATTCACTTTGCTTCACCTTTTTCACTTCACACTCCGAAATCAATTGTTTTCACTCTGCACCCATCGACTCGTCGATGATGCAAATAGCTGTCTTCAGTTTTCCAGTCACTTTTTAATGTTTTTAGAGTTCACACACACTGTTCACTGTCTCTGAAGATTCTTCAGTCCATTCAGGACGCCATTTTGTCTCTTCCACTTAGGATCTCATCCGGCTCCGATGGACCAATGTTCAGGCTCTCCTGGCCTCGATTTTTTGTGGACTGTATTGCGAAATAACTATTTACACCATTTTTGTTCCATTTAACACTAAAACATTATTTATTTTCTCTAAAACTACATTTGTAAATTTCACTTGTGTTTCGCACAAAGGTTCAACTCCGAATCCTTAAAAACACGATGGCGGCGCACATCCGCTCGCACTTTTTTCTCTCGCTCGTTCGCTCGTTCCATTTTCCGTCCGTGTTGCCATGATTTCGTTGCTACACATTTCCTTGCCAGTGCAACCAAAATCGATCATAGCAACCGATCCAAATAAAAGTGAAAAAATATTGCACAGTGACAGTCAGTCTCGAAGTCCTCCTCAAGCGAACGGATGCTCGCTTACAGTAGCCTTTAGTGATCCAGCTTCTGCAATGAGAAACTCCTGGAACCAGATTCAACACCAATTGGGTACGGGAATACCTCCCAAAGCTGACGAGGCGGATGAAATGGTTCGGCGATGTCAAACCCGTAGCTGAAGGAAACCTGGTCCTAATTGTCGACGAAACCTGCAGGAACGGTTGGATTCGTGGACGCGTTAAGGAGGTCGTGACAGCGAAGGATGGAAGAGTTCGGCAAGCTGTTGTACTAACTGCGAGGGGGATATTGCGTAGGCCAGTATCCAAGTTGGCTGTATTGGAGGTTGAGTCAGGGGGTAACACTGGGATCGATGGCCAGTGTTACGGGGGGGGGGGGAGGATGTTGCCGCTGGGTGCACTGCTTCAGGTTGGCGTTCCGCGTTGTCGCCCCAGCTGAACTTCAATGACGGCTGTCAACGGTCAGCTCAACATATGACAGGTGACAGTAAGGAAAGAAGGGGACAAAATACTTCCGACGAGGAGCAACAGAACGGATAGCGAAGCAACAAGCGAAATAGAGTCTACTCCAGCGAACATTTGTTATTCTAAAATTTATTAAACCCCAAACGATTCAATTTGTTACTAGTAGTTTGCCTAATTAAAAGCACATACATAAATTGTAAGTTGTACACTTTAAACCTATTAACACACAATTGTAATACCCTAAAATTTGTTGCACACAAGTAACAAACATAGATTTCAAGCATACCATTTGCACACGTAGAACACCGTAAGTGTAAGTAAACTAACCTATAATTTGTTAATCTATTCCTAATACACTGAATTACACTTGCAGTTTAAAGCTGCGCTAAATCGAAAAGATTTGTTTATGTGCTGCTCAAAACCCGGTGTCCAAAACGTATAATTTTTCATTCTGCCTGCCGTAACAAAACATTAAAACTTACGTTACTAAATCGCTTCAGAATATTCATAATTAATTCGGAAAGCACTCATTTCAGGAAGTACTGAATCACTTCAGAAAAATTTGGAATCACGCCGGAAAATAGAAGTTTGTTATCACTTCCGAAAGTACTGAATCACTTCAGAAAGAATTGAATCACTTTTGAACAGTTTGAAATCAATTCTGAAAGTAATGAATCACTTCAGAAAAGCTCTGAAATTCTTCGGATAGTATTGAATGACGTAAGAAAATTTCTGCATTTCAGTCTTTCCAGAAACTTTGCAATCGCTTCCGTAAAAACTAAATAATTCCGGAAAGAACTAATCTATATAATCCATAATCTACCAGGCGTTACTGGGCTTGTACTGGGTTAGAGGTCCATCTGTCATTAAAAAAAAACTACAAGGGACAGCCCTATGGTGTTGTACGCAATGATGACATAGAATTACGTGGTCTTATATAATAAATCTTATTTGTTAACTGCAGCAGGAGCTTGTGTTTTGTGTAGGAATAGGCATTTGAGCGGGGTTCTCTCTGTAGTTGGCCCACAGCAACTCACGAAGGGCTACTGATTCCGATCAATAGCGGTGTGGCTTCTTCTTCTTTCATTGGATGCTCATGTGGGCTGCAGCTAGCTGCTTCCAGACAGCCTTCGATTGTGTACTGGAGAACACCATCACTCACCACGCGGCGATTAAATAACCACCGTATGGTGAGACCGGATGGACTTCAACTTTGAAATCTGTGCTAGGGAAATCACTTTTCACAGGCAATCGGTGATAATTTAATTATCAAAGCAACAGTTGCACATTCGTGATATTTTCAAAAGTGACAACTTGAAAATGATAAAGTCTTAAATTTAATAGATGCGTAGAAAAATATCTGATCGATTGGTGATAACATTATTGAAATTGGTCAAGGGGAAGCTGAGTTATTAGCGTTCAAAATCTTTCATAATTTTGTATCATGTTCCATTTTCGGTTTTCACAAAGTGTACCCCCATATAGAAATCACACACGTGGTTCTACGTCAAAAAATGTCCAGAAACCATTAATATATATCTGAGGACAGTAATAGCACTGCAGTTAGAAAGGAATGTCCGGGAGTTTTGTTTTCTTCATTGAGTTGACCTCCTGCTTTCGAAAACTCAATGTAAATAGTATCCACTTGTTTCCACTTTTCGATTTTGTTGATGAACATATTAGTGACTCGAAGTAGTTTGAACTGTTGTTTCACCGATATTTTAGCCACCCATAGATGCCCGACAGCAAAAACGCAAAGTTCCACACGGAAAATCTTCCAAGAACCACCACACGTACGTGAAACAATGCAAATCCATTCTCGCATATCTCCACATCTTGCTCGGTGAACGGTTATGAATATCCACCAGGATGCAATTCCTGCAACGCGCAACGGGAGGAAGGCGTTGATTGCAGATCCGTTACAGGAGGGGAACAATTAATGCCCTATTTACCTATTTCGAACACGCAGAGCAAGCCCGTCTACTCCTTTCTTCTGGCATCTCGGAAAAGCGAAACAATAAGAAACTCGCGAGGTGTTAAGGTGATTTGCATATCCTAACAAATCATCATGCCTGCACCGTGCCGGGAGAAAAACGGAAAGGGGTCACCATTTCCGAGCACTTTTCTGAGACTTCTTTCCTCCTATAACTGCTGCTGCACATCTTGAAGGGATCAGGAGTGAGCGGACAGATGCATTCTACCCTATCCCATAATGGTTTTTTTTTTCGATAGCAGAAACAAAGAAATCCCAACGATTGTGCAACGGGATGCACGCACAATTTATGCAAATGGGTGCTGCCCGGTCCGGCCTCCGGTGGCACCTACGAATCTACCTCTACTCCATCGAAACGGGGGCATTAACCTGATGCTGCTGGAAACCCCTTTTCCAGTGTAGCAACAAGGCACTACTTTCTGTGTCAGTTTGCGAAAAGTGCCGTCGTGGTTTAATTGAATGTTGCACAAATGCAGTTCCCCTATTGTCATCTTCCTGGATTTGCATACGCACACACATATTGTTCTGGGCAGTCGCCCTTCGTCAGCTATGGTTGGGGTGAAAAATTGCATTCACGTCAGATATTGGTTTCTGCAAGTGACATTTATTTACTCGTCTCCCCGTGGAAAGACGATTCGGACCAGGATAAAAGAGGGGTGCATATGAATGGGTATGGATATTTGGCTTTTGCGAGAGTGCCGAGCGATGGTGCAGCATCTTTAAGGACGACGAAGATCGGGGGAAAGGAAAATCGTTGGTCGGTCACGCACTGCACCTGAACACCTGGTTTGGCAAGGGTCGTGAGACCGTGTCGGTTGGGATCAAAATCAGCGGCTGTGGGTTATGAAAGCAAATAGGCAAGGAACTATTGTGTTGCTGAAGAAGTTAATGGGAAAGGAAAATATACGATTCAATAGAATTGCGGACGGACAGCTATAGCATTTTTGTACTCATTAGATCAGATTAGAGGTGGATTTCAAAGTTGCTGCAATCTTTTGTGAACAACTTAAACGCCACAACATGATCAGCGTTAAAAAAAGGGAAAAATTACCATTTCAAAAATCGAGCTTTGAATTAATGTTTCCAGTTGAAAATGTAAACACTAGTCAGAAACGTAGTAGCTTTGAAATCAAACGTGGTAATTTTAAAATCCTTTTACTTTTACTAGAGTGCTTTAGGTGATTGAGAGACATACTTTATTTAAAAACAGATTACTTTCTACTTTATAGACGGTAATAAAAAGTACCCAACGTGATAGTTAAAATTACCCAAAATTATATGAATACCTAATAGTCATCTGTTGAATAGAAACATTAAGTTACTTTCACGTTAAATTTTCCCAATTATGAGTGTTTATGAAAATACTTAATAATAGACAAAAACCCTGTTGGAAAATCAAAACATTTCAATCTTCTTTCATATTAAAATAATGAATATTCCAAAACAAAAATAATGTATTACTATTATCACCATGTAAACAATGTACTTGTTGTAGTAAAAACCCATATGGATCCACCTTTGTTACAGAGTATAATCTCTTTTTTGATGTCTCAGTTTCTACACAGCCCAATTGAACACCAAATCCGCATACGACAAAATCGATCGATCGAGTTATGGCAGATTATGTACTAGTACGGATTTCCGTATAAACTGACGTGATATGTCAAGGTGACGATGGATCGAGTGATGTGCATTGTTCGAGTATCAGGGACACTCTCGAGTCTCTTTGGAGGTGTGATCAGAAGAGCTGGTACGATCTTCAG